CCCTTGATAAGGAGCAGCCCATTTACATACCCCCCTGCACCGCTAGGATGAGGCATCTTGTGACCTATAATTTATGGTCGACCCTCCTCTCTGAAAGGCATCAAATCTGATTTACAAGTCCCAAAGTATCATTGCATCCACTAAAGCCTGCCAAAAATTCATCATATCACTGTCCAGAAGTTTTGCCCTGTTTGCAGGTGAAATTTCTTTCACTTCCATTACCAGGAGAGGGCAGAGACCACCTGAGGAGTTGCTGCTACAGGGTGATCAATCAGACTTCTGCCATAAACCACCCACAGAGGAGACCCCAACACCACCGTGACTGGTGCTGCTTTGCATCTCCCCTCCCTGCCCAACACCACTGCCTAGGTGGGACAGTGAGAGTGCTCCTGTCGGGTACCACTGGTGACTTGTGTCACAGTGTTCCTTATGCACACTTCTGGGAGCTTGTGCCAAGCTTAGCAGCTGGCTTTTCTCTGCCAGGAACGAGGAATAGTAATGTGCATACTGATGCTGGGGAGAGCAGTGCTATATTTTGGAATATCCTTTCCTGTGTGTTGCCCCTTAGGCTGACACCACAGGAGCATGAAGGCAGCATCACTAAAGATGACTTGTAACTCCAGTGGCCCGGAAGACTCCAGCCTCTGAAACATGGCTGGTGAGTCAGGTAATCCCCAGGGCTGAAATACAGCTCATCCCCCCAAAGAAACCTCCCTCCTGAAATAAATCAGGGTTGGAACCTTGGCACCAGTCTGATAATTCCCTGCTCCTGGGAACAGGAGTAGTTATTGGTGATATTCTCTGCTGTGCAGCTCCATCTGCTGTGACACAGGTCCTGGGGGGGACGAGGGGACCCGCTCTAACAGTGGTCTCAATGGCAAATGGCCACTGCTGGAGAATGGGCACCCACAGAGCTTGGGCTCCTTGCCTTCCTCTGTGGGAAATATTTGTAAAAGATGTGGAAGCATCAGAGGAAAGTATTGCCCATGATCTCAAGAGTGTCAGAGAGGTGCATGGGGGCCATGAGGGAGATGTCCATGGGCAGAGCCTGCCTGTCAGGAGTGAGTGGCTGGGGCTCAGCCACACACAGCCCCCTACATCAGCCAAAGGGAAGGGATTTCCTGGTGCAGAGGTGCGCTTTGCTCGCTGACATTGAACGGTGAGATGAGTCAAAATCATTGTCTCCTCTAGGCTTTCCTCTCCCACATGGAGTGATCTCACATTCGCCTGCAGAGGGAGACGGCTCCTCTTTATTTGCTAAATTTTGTTGACACAGTTTTGTGCTGCCACCTTACCAGGCTGGAAAAACCAGCCGCGGAATTGACGTGGCCCTCCTGCAGCCCACGGCCAGGCACTCCCGTGGAGCTGCTGCCAGGGGTATGCGGGGACCCTCCCAAAGCCAAGCAGCGGGGATAAGCAGCAGTAGTTTATGAGCTGGTTGCAAAGTCCTCAGGGGAGCAGCCTCTGAGGCAGTGCCAGGCTCCGCTGTGTGTTCCAGCAATGGTGCAGCCATCGGCGCTGGGCTAAGGAGGAGGGTCATAACAGCAGCCGTGCAAGCGGGTGGCTTCACCCCTTCCCTATCCTCGGCAAGGGGCTGCTCCCAGCAGAGGAGCTGCCCCCAGCCCAGGGTTTGGGCAGAGCTGGACAGCCATCACCTGGAAAACACACTCATTTCCAAACCCGCGGAATGGCTCCCGATCTCAGGGCCTGCTGTTCCTCACGCACAGAGCAGGTTTATGAGGAGCTGTGGGGCCGGGTGAACCTGAAAAGCTGGCTCATGCGTGCCCTCAACACCTTCCCACCGCAGAACCACTCGGGGCCCTCGCAGCGAGATCTGCACACAGCACCGAGATTGCTGGCACTGCTGCGTCCTGCTCAGGCTCTCCGTGCCTTGCCGAGAGCAAGACAGAGGGGCAGAAGGCGGTTTTGCACTGTGCAGGGCTCAGCTGGGGTTGCAGCTCCTGTGTGAAGCTTCTTCAGCCTTCTGAAAAGTATTGACTCATGTTCTACTTTTCCTTGCAGGGAAAAAAAAAGAAAAAGAAATAAAAAAGGTTTGCTCCCTGCTTGCTGCCTCATAAACCACAGTTTTAATTTCCTAAGTTGCACCACAGCCCTACTTGCCCGCCTCAGTACCTGTGACAGGGGAGAGCACTCAGTAACTGAGAGGCACTGTGCCCAGAGATCGGGCACCAAGATGAAGGCAGAGCTGCCAGAAGGATAAAGCTCACCTACATCCCTTCCCCCACCAAGGCTTTTTATGTGTGTGACAGGCTACTGTCCTAATTTAACTTAATAACTAGCTTAATGCCTTGTTATACTTTCCTTCTGTGTTAAATACTGAAGGAATAACAAGGAGAAAAGCAGAGAGAGCAAGCTATGTGTTTAGTAGGAGAAGATTTACAGAGGACAGGAATAAAGCTGGAAAAGCTAGAGAAGCCCTCATCTTCAATGAGTATATTCAATACTTCCATAAAACCACCTCATAGTTTAAAGAATGGCTCCTGACAGTTTCTAAGCCTGTACACAGCTTTTCATGGGGAAGACTCTGCATTTTAGGGGTGTTTTTTGAATGTCCTCTTCTTACTCACAGGGTCCTTGGGCAGGTTAGTGCTTTACTCCATTAGAAGTAGTTCTCACCAAATTGTTGAATAATTTTTTAATATACTACATGTAGTTTGACTGCCTGGCTAGGCATGCCTCCTAACTCTGCAATACCTGTGGAAATGATAGTCATGAGAAGTTCAAGGAGTTAAGGGCATATCTGATAGCAGATAACATGCCAGTGCTGCACATGGTGCTGGCTTGAACTTCTTTTTGGAATTGTGAGTAGCAAGGAGGCAGCATAGGAAAATAGTCTCACATTTTTCTAAGCCCACACAGGCTCCTTGGGTCTCAAACATCTGTCTGCTCTTTTGTTTGCAAGCAAAGCAGCATGAAGGTCTCTATCCCCATCAGTGCTTCTGTTGGTGCACCACTTTGCAAACACGATGCCTTTGTCCTCTTGCTATTTTTCTTAAAGTTCAAAACAATCCAGCACAGTCACCAAGCCACAAGCTTGCCAGCTCTCTTGCTATATTCAGCCTAATCTGAACATCCAAACTCTCACGTAGGCAGCAGTAATGATCTCCTTCTTCCACCTCAGAAATGACAAAATGCTCCACCTCCACCCCCTTGTCCACACTCATCTGCTAGGAGATGACAACAAGGTCACCATAGTGCAACAGGCAGGAAATGCTGAAAACTTGTGGCAATATCTTTTTTTATCCAAAAATAACCCCCAAATCCCACCAGCCTTTAAATTTCAACTCACAGATAGAAAGGTGTCAGGCAAACAATGTTTCTACTACTTACCTACAACACCCATTTTTCCCCTAATATCTCTTAGCAGCTCACCTTCCTCTGATCTCCCTCAATCTCCCAGTAGGGTCAGTTAGACTCCACATCCTCAGCTCACAGGGCATGAAGCCACAAAGGGCTACTACAGAGCAAGACTTAGGGATTGCTGTGCCTATCACTGACTATTGTCAGGCTTGGGCATCCCAGGGGACAGTAAGAAGCTCCAGGAAGGGCAACTTCTGCCATGAGATAGTTACAGGTCCCAGATAGTCATAAGTTAGGGCTATGGGCTCTTCTCGTCTGTCTTTGATGGCAAATGAGATCCTTGTCCAAAGTCACCCTCACCACAGCCCCTCTGCACGCTGAGGGCTGGGGAAGGAAGACAGTGCTGCCTGGCCTCCTAGAGGCCCCTGAGTCACAGGTAGGCAGTATCCCAACCTAGAGCATCCCAGGAGCCCAGCCAAACTGCTGTTTCACTGGGTTGCATGTGGTAACACACTTTTTATCCAGAAAGAGAAACACATGCAATAGCAAGCAAGAGCAGAGCCTGGAAACACCGCTGAGGGCAGCCAAGTCAGTGAGGTTACTCTCCAACTTGTGCCAGCACTGCAATGGCCCCAGCTGGGAGCATGGAGCAGAGCCCTTGATCCTCAGTGTGGGGCAATGCCAGTGGGACCATCAGCCAATGCTGTGGGTGGGTTGTGCAACTGCACCCAAGTGTGGGTTTGCCTTAGAGTCCAGAGTGAGTAAAAACACATTAGGTATCGCTCTATACCATGTCCCCAAGTGGGGCAACAGTATGCCTGTTCAGATCAAAATGAGCAAGCTTTTCCCTTTTCTTCAGAAAGACCAGAGTTTTCTACTTCTATATACATGCAGTATGGCCCATATGCCTATGACCAGCTCTCCGAGCTATTGGCTGCTCTTCCTGTGGTCCTGGCACTTGCATCTGCTCCAGATTCTTCTCTCATCACAGGTTTAGAGATGCCATGGGCATGGGTGTGTGCCACACACTGGCAGACGAGGGAAGGCACTGCATGAAAGCCTGCGGAAAGGCCAAAAAATTGCTGATGGAAGTATGCAGAGATGATAGCAGCAGTAATGAGAAGGAAAAAGCACTTTAATCTAGCTTGAACAACTTCCTATTACTTATATCACAGGTTTACATTAAACCAAGACCAGAGAACTGCCACACAGGAGAAAGAATATAACTTTATTTTAAAAAATAATAATTTAGCTCAAACAAACAGGATCGCAGAGGGTCAATTGAAGCAGGAAGGTATTTACCCACAGAATTTAAAACAGACCAATTTTGCTCTCTTGTAGATGATACTTTCAGTGCCCTTACCTGTCCACAGCTCTACTTCAGGTCCTCACCTGCACATAAAGGTATCCTGACTCCTGGGGCTCTTAGTAACAAGGCAGAGAAATGGTGTCTGCCCCTCACGAAATGCTGTTCCCACCTCCAGGGCCTCCATGATCCAAAAAGCCAGAAGAGCAACACCAGCATTTAAACCAATGTGCAATACAAAGGGAACAACTTGCACTCCTCCCTGGAAGTCTACCCATGCCCCATTCCCAGCGTCCTGGCCAAGTGCTCCCACCCACGCCTGAATTCGCCCCCCCGCCCACAGGTGCTGTACACAGAGGTGTGCACACAGGCCTTTGCAATACTCCTCCCTCCCCACTCTCTTCTCATCCAGACCCACGGATCTTTCACCTCTCTCTGTGCCTGCGTGCCGTACATTTTTTGGCACAGCAGCAGTTCGTTTCACAGTGACAGGATTCGCCCTGGAACACACTGAGCCACTACTGTAGTTTTTTCTCTTCTGTGTAGTAGCCTTTCATGCAATTGCCGTTCTGATACACAGGACTGGCCCCCTTCCTTCTGCACCACACCACAGATTTGTAGACAACAAATCCTGTACCGGCCAGACACAACAAGAGGAGAGCCAAGATGTCCAGGCAGAAGTACTCATATAAGGAGAGGTCGTAGACAGCAGGGCGAAGATAGGGTGCCCCATCATGACGAAGGATGTACTCCAGCCAATACACTGTCCTATTGAGAGCATGCATCGGTCTGTCCAGGTGCAGAGCTGAGATGAGCTGGGCTGCTTTTCTGTAGCTGCAAGGGAAGAAGACAAGAAGTTAACCTTTTGACAGGAGCTTCATTTCTGAGAGTGATCCGAGATGTCTAGTGATGCTTTCAAGTCCCAAATAATACCTTCGGAGAAGGGAAAATTTCTTCCATTCTTCTTCTGAAAGCCACTCTGATGGCAATTGCTAGCCGTGGAAGCACAAGCCAGAGTGTATTTTATTTTGTGTTTTGTTAACAACACAGAGTTCAACTTGCAAGTACCTGTTCAGTGAGTTCATGTGTACTGTACTTTCTGAGGGGAATTTGCACACAAAACCTCACCCAGCATCAAGTAAAAGTTACACACTTGATGACTGGCCAAATCCTTCAAGGTACCAAGTTGCAACACCTCCTAATAGGTAAGAAATATAAAATATTAAAAAAAAAAACAAACAAGCTCTCAGGCAGCATTTCAAGCACTGGCAGTTGTACGTCCCATTAGAAAATGGGAGCCCTGTGCCACTCTGCTGCAGCAGCTCCAGGAAAGGGCAGAGTATCTGGCTGTCAGAACAAATAGATAGAGCATTACCGGCAGTCCCCTCTGTGTTTCTACAGAAAGCTGTTTGGACAAGACCAGGGAGACCCCAAGGTGAGTTGTGATCTCACTTTCCCTGATGACAGGCTGGCATCAAAAGAAGAAGAGGTCTGTGCCCAGCATCTCAGAAAGCTTTCTAAGAACATCACAGTCAGAATCAAACAGGACTAGATCACACTCTCTAACAGCAAATGCTGGAGTATCTCCTCCTGAACTGCATCTAAGCATTTCGAGGCACTAACACATCTGGCCAGCTGAGCAATGCCTGCAACTGTGCTTCGTCCAGAAGCCAGCACAGGCTGTGTAGGGGTCAACACAAAGGCACAACTGGTGTCTAAACACAGTCTGCACCAAGGAAGAGCTTGATGTTTCCAGATGCCTCACCTGGGGTCAGAGATGACTGTGATGACAGCCTGGTAAAGTTCCTCTTCTTTTACTCTGCTCCAGTCCATGAGGATACCCATGCCCTTTGCCTGCACTCTGGTCATGATGTCAAACTGGTCCCCATAGAAAGGAAATCCCACCACTGGCACACCATGATAAATTGCCTCAAATACACCATTCATCCCACAGTGGCTGACGAAGGCTTTCACATTGGGGTGGCCTGCAGGTAAAGAAACGGCAGCAGGTCAGTGCCTTCCATGTTGAAAGAGGGCTACCAGGGGCTACACACAGTGTTGATGTATGTTTAGGGAAAACCAGGCACGCTGAGCAGAGAGGATGCTACCCTTTGGGAACACACCTGGCTTTTGGCAGCCCAAAACTTGCTGAGTAGTGCCTGGAGGAAAAGGGAGATAGGAGCCAAGCAGCTTCAAGCAGGTGTTAGGTGAGGACCATGTTTTATACAGATCAGACTCACAAGAAACAACAGACTTAGACCCACAGAGGTCCTATTGTCCTTGTATGCCTCTGCTGTGGTTTGGGCTAAATTCCAGGGATGTTGCTAGCAGCACACACATACACAGAACCCAGCCTTACCTAGCAGGTCATTCTGGGGCAGCCAGCCCATCATCAGCGTATTCTCACCCAGGTTTCTTGGCTTCTGACCAAAGTATCTGTGGGAGGAGAGAGAGGAGGGGAAAACAAAGGGAAGAGAAACACACAGAGAACAATAATAGATTCAATCAGATCAAGAGATAGAAAGCAAATTCTATGTTTTGAAGTTAATCACCCCTCAACATTGGTTTTCATCCAACTCAAAAGGAATCCCATTCCCTCCTCACCTCCACACCACCCTTTGTGGGAGGCGAGCAAACGCGCCAGCCATCTTCTCCACCAAATCGCTTGGAAGAGCTCGGATCCCAATGCCAAAGGAGACAACAACTACACCTGCCTCTGCTGCTTCCACCCAGAGACGCAGACCCTGTGGGCAAAACACACACAGCTGCCTTGAAGTCTTGATGGAGAAAGGCCCTTCCCACTCTTGCTTCTGTCAGTAGAAAGCTGTCTACGGAGATGATGAAGCCAAATCCACCTGGAGCACAAAGCTACATGATTTTCACCAGGCAAGAACTCTAAACTCACTGTGATTTCTGCACCCAGCAAGGCAGAATTTACTTGAGCACCTGCTGATCTTTGGAGCTTCAGGGAGGTATCTAAAACTTGCATTTCATAGCATTACCCCCTGCGTGGGAGGCAACACAATTACCCTTTGACAAGAAAAGTTCTGAAAACATAGGGCACATAGAAAAATCTGAGCAGACAAGGAAATTGGAGTAAAAAGAGGGAGGCTATTTTCCCATCACCACTAAGACAGGAAACCAATATAACAGACAAAACATCACACAGTCAGGAACAACATCTTGCTGGAGATTCCCCACAAACTCTCCAATGTCAAAGGCTCCTGGAGGTGGCAGGTGGCTTTGCTATCTTGCCAGGAGACTTATACCCATCCTTGATAGCTACTTGCAAGCAGTAGATTTAGTTTTTGATCACTAGGCAGAGAGGTAGCTACAGATCCAGTAAAAACCACAGTTATGTGTCCTTCATTTAGAGGCTACCTGTAATGCTACATAAACAGATGTGTATCTGGAACAGAGTCTGTACTTTTTGCAACCAAGGCCAAAAGGCAGCAGGGAGAAGAAATCAGCTACCACATCTGCTGTGGAGAAAACATAGACTATTCCCTTTTATGTCAGGCTGGGCTGAGTCTGTTTCTCATTACGGATTCTGTCCTGCTTCAGGTTTCCCATGTATCCCAGTCAGCAGCATTTTAGGGAGGTTTAATAAAATCTCTTTGAATATGAATACTTCCTTGAAATAAGCATGTAGGAGAACGTGAACGGCAAAAAAAAAAAAAATCTTTGTTATTAAAAGAGAAAAATAAAGTGATTAATTCAGAATGTTAATAGCAGTTTATAGGTTAGGGGATCGTAGTACAGAAGAGTTACAAAGCACATTTTAGTGTTACTCTCTGGTGATATTTTTCCTTTGTTGCATGCTTCAGGGACTCGAGCCTATCTTTGCAGAAATGCTTAAAATGCCCTAAAACAATCCAAGAATCAAAAAGTTTACAACTGAGAGATTTTTGGTTTCCCCATTCTCTTGAGTTTCACATGCTTTGAGAAGTACAACCACTGAAACTGCTACAGAAGAGAAAGTGCTAATTTTACTTTTCTAAATAAAAGTACAATGACTCACAAAACAGATGATTATGTTGTCCATTATAATTGGACCTTAACATTTGACTTTCAGAAACAGCATTTAAGTTGCTTGGGAAACATGGTTGACCACCAAACATTCTCACTATCTCTCAAATACAAACCTGTATTTCACCATACCCTAGCTAGAAGAACTCAAAAATCATAGTGTTTCAAATAGGAGGAAATAAATACTTTAATTGCATAATGCTCCAGTTCAGATGAGACATTCTTTAAGCTACACCTAGACCTACAGAGGCCCTCTCTTCTGTTGGTTCCTGTAACCTGGACACGGACATGCCTACCTGCTAGCATGACAGCCACCACCTACTGCGGGGCTCTGCACTTATCTCCATAATTCTTTCCTTAGGCACCCTAGGATCTGTCCTGGAAGCTGTGAAGCCCATGAGTAATGCCCTAGCAAACTACTCCCTTCTTTATAAGGCAGGTATGTACGCAGGCAGATTGGACCAAACCAGTGTTTTGCAAGAGCTGTGACATAGAGCTCTCTGACACAGCTTTGGGAGCACCCTATCTGCCTTTCATTACCTGCATGCCATGCCACATGGAAAGGCTGATGTGCATACACGTCTGGAGAACTTCTTTTCTAAGGCACCTGATCTTACTTTTCCTTTTTAACTGAAAAATATTGGCATCAATTAAAGCTGCCATCAGAGATCCTAACAGGCCTTTAATAATTTGAAAGTTGAAACCTTGTCATCATTTCAGGCCCTTAGTCAGGAAACCAGGACAGCTTTGCTGCTCAAGTTTTATTATCTAAGTTTATTTCCCCCCAGTGTTTGTAAAAGTGGTAAGGCAAAAAGAGGAATGGCAGAGAGGTCCTGCTCTGTTCCAACACTGTCTTCAGGTGGAGGCTTTCAGAGCTCATCCCTCTGAATTTATTATTCACACTAGTGAAGTATAGGCCAGAGAAAGCCTCTGGGATGTCTGAGGAGTTTTCTCTTAGGGCTGAACCTTGAGAAAAAGGGGATGATGCCCCTCAGTTTAATACACTTCGGGATTCTGCATGGAATTTGATGAGGGAACAAGGACAGTTCTCCCCTATGCGTTCTTATGACTACAAGCTCAAGGGCAGAAATGCCCTGAGAGAAATAGGGTGAAGGAGGAAATTCTGGATTAACACATATCAGTGATGAAACAAGGAAGATTAACTGTTCTTCCCATTTCTGCTTCAGCATGGGAGCAAACAAACTACTCATAATCAAATACCAGGAGCAACACTTCCATCTTAGGAATTACACACACCATTTTACTTGGATGGTGAAGCCAAATCCCACTTCAGAGTGGACAACTTAATTCTACATCCTCCCTGCAGCCAGACAGTCTTCAGTGTTCTCTGTCTCCCTGATGCACCCACAAGCACCGAAACACAGCAGCTTTCCAGCCTCCTGGGACATTAGCACTTTTACAAGGTTCTTTAAAAGAAGATCTGTACTGAATAACTCCCTCAGTTGATGTGCAATCATAGCTCAAAGCTTTCCTGCACTTACCACTGGAAGGGGCTTTGCAGGCTCAGCGAGGATGCCCCCTGTGAAAATGACATGGGGGAGTGTCGGACGGGGAAAGTCTAACACCACATCATTACACAGGAAGAAAAGACTAGTTCCATGAACAAGGTCCAACATGGATGTCTTGGGCTCCACCCTATGCTTCTCCATGAGACGTTCAAACTTGGGCAGGATGACCAGCTTTGTAGCCACACGAGTGATCATGTAGACTAGAAGATTCCAAGTCCTACCAAAGAAGCCCATCCTGTCTGTCATCAGGGAATTGAATTCAGGGACATAGGCAATGGGGGAAGTGGCCCCAATCTCTGCTGGGAACCAGAAACCTGTGGAAATCACAGCATATTTGACATGTAGGATGTGAGCCAGGATAAATCCACACATCTCATTGGGGTCCACCAAGAGCAGGTCAAAGCGCTCACACTGGAGTTTCTGCAGAAGGGTAGAGTTTCCCAGCACTAGGTCACAGTTTTCCAGGTACTTCTCCAGAAAGGAAAACATCTCCAGAGAAGTCATCTTCCCTTGAAAGACACGCTTTATCTTCTCCTGCACCCAGTCATCTGCGTTCTCTGTGCTGAAGATGCCCCAGTACCTCTGCACACGGAAGGCAGGCAGATAGGTTTCCATGTCCCGACCTTCATGAAGGAGTAGCACAGGGTCATGGCCCCGATCAGTCAGTGCCTCTGCCACTCGCATGAAGACTCGCAAGTGGCTGTCAAAGACTATGGTGGGCATGATCAGCACCTTGGCACAGTGAGATGGCTCCAGAGTGAATGCAGTCACTAGAAAAAGAGCAGCGGGCCCCAGTAGCACCTTCATCATCTTCATCACTGCAAGGAGAGAAACATGCCATTATGTAGTATGAAATGCTCTGTCCTGCACTTGGGCAACTAACAGCTGTGATTACAGCTGCAAACCGGCAGCTCATTATCTGGGAGAGGAAAGCAGTCTGGAGTTCTTCACTGGGGAACATCCATCCACCCTGCCTTCCCCCGAAAAAAAAAAAAAAACACAAAAAAAAGCCCAACCAACAACTAAAGTTAGATATCCAGGTGTATGAAGAGAGTTTTCCAGAAAACCTCTTCTCTGTGCTCCTAAGACTCAAAAACTAGCAGACTGGCTTGCAGAGAGTTAGAGTGGCTGGAGAAGCTCTGCTGGGTCACAGCACCAGCAGGGACACTTGCTGCTTAGTCCCTGGTTACCGCTACAGAACCAGCTCAGCTGGATTTCATTTCTATTTCTGTCCAGCCAGAACAGCTGGTTCCCTCAGCCCTTGATGTCTGTGCAAACTCTCAGAAGGAGCTTGATGGGAATGCCAAGAGGTATGCTCTGGCTTTGGCCCTCACATGGCTGGCAAGGCACCCTGCTCAGCACAGACAGGGCAGGAGCAAATCCAGGTCACAGCAGGACCTGGTCAGAGGAACCACAATCCCTGAGAGCACAGCAGGGGTCTGGACAAAGAGCTGCTCCACTGTGGATCAGTCATGGGAGGCTCCAGGGAAAGGGCTAGAAGGAGAAAGCAGGCACCATGATACCCATCCACTGGAAAGAGGCAAACCCAGAAAGCAACCCCAGAGATAACATGCAATACCCGTGGCACACTGACGCCCCTTAGTCACGCTCCTAAAGCTGTCATCCCCTCCTCAGTTTGGTGAAACACCCAGCATTTCTGTTGTGTAAGGGATGTTGCTACATCACTGGAAGCGAACGCGCCTCACCCACACCTAACATTATTTTGGGAGAAGAATTACATGATAATTATTTGGGAATAGTCAGAAGCAGAGTCGTTTTCTGAGGACCCAGTTCAGACACGCTAGGAAGTGGGGGGGGGAAGGGGAAGATGTTACAGTGGGAACAATTAGAAGTGGATTTTGGATGGCCCTGCACACTAAGCCCTGGGGGGCCATCAGGGACATGGTAGAGTAGGATTTGGTACAAGATTTTCTGGCACAAGATCAAACTTCTCCAGGGGTGCTTGATCAATTAAGAGGTGGGAAAGGAAGTCACAGACAAGATCCTGCAAAATACAATCTTCAGATGACCCTCAGCAGCTGGGCTGTCTAGGCAAACTAAGCAGTAAAGGTGCAGACGTGGGAGAGTAAAAGTGCCCTATTCCTCCTCCATTGCTTTCCTGTCCCTTGTGAGGACAGGACATGGGAGAAAGAAACAGCAGCTGCTGATTGGGCCCCTCCCCTGTTTCAGAGGCAACTCTTATTAGTGCTTGGACTCCCACCCTTCCCACCCAGGGTCAACCGTGTGGCTGTGCCTGCAGGAGTGGTAAGAAACATGAGAAACACTAACAAATACCAAGGGGGTGGTTGGACCCACAGAGCAACAGCTCCAGGAGAATGGAGACAAAGGTGATGGGCTGGAGAGAAGAGAGCAAAAGCTCCGCAAGGAAAGTAAAGATCTGCCCAGCATCCTGCCTCCCTACCGGTGGGAACAGGCTGGCCTGTGACAAAGTGTTGGTCACAACAGAGCTACAGCCCACAAAACTGGTCCAATTCTTAGCTTACTTGAGAGGCCCAGAGGGAATTTATCTCTCTCAACGCCAGGGAAGGTAATGCATTTGGCTATGACATTGCGCAGCAGATCGAGAGCACATGCTGCTTCCAGGCAATGAGGGAAGAAAGGCAGCCATGTACTCCTGGTCTTCTCAAGGATGGCAGGGAGCTCAGGACAGAAGCGGGTATAGGCTTGTCCTGGGGCACCCCGTGGGTCATACACACACATAAGTATGCTGAGAAAAGTAGAAGAGGTTTTACATGTGGGATAGGGTGTTTTCTCATTGGGCAACAAGTAAAGGTGAAGAAATAGTGCAGGTGAAAGGAATAGTTATTCAAAGAAAAAAATTGTCACCCCTTTTCAGCAAGAACCATGTTCTGCCATGGACCTATGTGCCAGGCATTGCTGTGACCCTCAGCTCAGCCAGGACCCTCGGGGGGGCTACAAAAATCCAAATGTCAATCTCAGCCCTCAGGTCAGGGGCAGATGCTGACACAGCAAGACCTGCAAACTGCTCTTGGCAGCTTCATCCCTTCCAACATCAGGAGGAATCCCTGAAGGTGCTGGCTCAGGAACCTCTTCTCCTTGCCAGGCAACAAGGGAGGCTGTAAATCTTCCTAAGTGGCAAGAGGATGCCAGGGTGCAGGAAGAGACCTCTTTTCCTACCCCAGCTCAATACCACCAGAGACAATCTCTGTTCTGTCCATGACCAGAGAGGTATCCTGGCCACAGCTTCAGCCCTAGTGCTGTGCTGGATACACCAGGCACACCCCTGATTTTTAGTGCTCCTGGGATATAATGAAGGCATAGCTACCAGCACAAAAGGCAGTACTCTGCTCTCTGTCCCTTGTTCAGCAGCTAGTCACTGTTATGATCTCAGGCTGATAGCAAAGGGGAAAGAAGTCCCAGATCTAGACAAGGGCTAAATGGCCCAGATGAGGGAAGGCTCAAATTCCACCTGCTCACCTCCCTGCTTTACCTTACTGACACTGAACAACAAAACTGCTCCATGAGCTTTGCAGCAGGGTCCTCCAGCAAGGGCAGGTGCTGTGGTGGGTGGTGTGGTCAGTGCAGCACCATCCATAGCACAGAGCACTGGCTCAGCCCAGCTTTCTGGCTATGGGACCTCAGCTGCCTGCACCCACTGCGGGCTGCAGGCAGATAGTCTTCAACTGAAACCTTCCAAAAATCCGGCATTCTGTGGGGAGGTGAATTCACAACTTGTGCCTTGACAGAGGTGCAAAATCCAAATAAATGACAGATCCTACACTAGACCTGAGAGCAGAGTAGACAGAACCACCTCCTTGTTTGTGATCTGGAAGTCCTGGGCTAATGGCTAAATCACGTAAATATTGCAAAAATAACCCTGTCACTGCAAGGAGAAGGCTTGTAAAGACAGACCCTTCCCTATTTTCGTGAAAACGGTTGGTGGAGCCACACCAACTGGCTGATTTATGCAGAGCAATCCCCCTGACATCACCGTTAACACTGGCAGCCAGAGTCAGGCTTGAAGGGAACTGGCAGAAACGCCCGTGCCACAGAGGCTTTCAGTTCCACCGCTGCAGCACACACAGCAGAGCAGAGCAGAGCAGACACCTCAATAAGAGCAGAACCAGAGCCTGCTGCAGGGGGAAGTGAGACTGCCACTGCGGGCGGCAGCAGCATCCCCCCTGCTCCGCATACCTGGCTACACTCAGCTTTCAAAGCCATAGCAATGCATTGACGTCGAAATGGGAGGCAGCAGAAACAGAGCAGAGTGCAGCCCTCTGAAACCTCTTACCGGGCTGAAACTTGCCCCATGATTTTTCCCTGTTTAACATGTTTGACAGATTACGACTTTGGTATTGATGAAAAACTACGTCAATTAATTTAAGTGAAATAACTGAACAGCTACAGCTCTAATTTAATTCAGGTGCCTTTTATAAGGTTGAGGTACTAAAACCTCTGACAGCAAGCAGTCTAGGCAGAGAACTCCCCAAAGAAAGGGCAATGAATAGGTTCAAGCGCAAGGCCTCTGCGGTTTACATCTCTCCCTCTCAACAGTACTTTGTATTACCTTGTTCCTGCCTAGGACCTGGAAGCCCATATCCATGGGGCTGAATTATTTCCCCTCCTGCATCCTAGTCTCTATGCAGCTTTTGCCCATAGGAAGAAATGTTTTCACTGCAAACTTCTCAGGAGTTAACAAAGCAGCGGAATTCATTTAAAAGCAAAAGACAGCTTCCCTCAGAAGCTCAAAGCTCTTCCTGGAATAAGATACTAAAGTTTGCCTGTTCTGTTGAGTATGATCAGGAAAAACCAGGACCATCTGCTATCATCAAGTTGATGGCAGCCAACCCAGTTGTGGCTAATTTATGGAAGCCAAGACTCCGTGCAAGCAGGCAGGTATGCAGCTCTGAGAGCAGCTTTGTCACTGCAGGAAGATGTTGCACTACAAGCATGAGCTGCCCAGGGGAATCTTTAACAAAAACCTAAAAGATACAATACTGTGTGAAGTAAACTTAATAAAGCATAGCTTAAAGCAGAACAGTCTAACTATAAATCATATCCAACCCAGCGCTTGGTGACTTTCTAGGCTCTTGTTTTGGTTTATCATAGACTCCTGCTTCATCAGAATCACCTGGGTAAATAAAACTAACATTAAAACACTAATATTATCATTATAGTATACTAATATTAGTATTACATTTTACCAATATTAGTATTAATATTTTAGTATAGAAAAAAAATGAGCAAGAAAAAAAACCCTCCCTCTCAAATGTAAGCAACCCCTGGCAGGCTACAACTCTGAGTTTTTTAAAATATTGTTTGCACACAGAGTGAATAGTGCACAGGTGGTCTGTTCAAAACACCCCACCTTTTAAACATTTTTCTTTCCACATATTCATGGCAGCCCATTACAAATACAGAGAATGAAGAAAGTCCAGATCCCCAAAGGACCAAAGGGAACAACCACAGCAGTGATCAAGTCAGCATCAGAATAATCCATACTTTGCACCGCATTGGTGCTACTGCTGCCACAAAACAGCATCAGAAGTGCTCTGGCTCATCTGTTTTTGGATGTTCCAAATCAGTTCCAAACTCTTGGGACCTTGGACCATTTTCAACATCCTTCCTATTTCTTTAGAGTTATATGGAGAACAGGCAAGGTGGGAATCTGTGGGCTAGCAGGAGGCTGGCGTTCCATAGATCACTGCTAGGGAACTGCAGTATTAAAGGCAATACTGGTCCATAACAACTGAGAAAAAAAATAAAGCTCTATATCTCAGCTTGTTGCAGCACTTGAAACTACACACATCTTCAAGAACTTGACCTGGGGAATGGTGTCAAACACCACACATCTGCTTCCCCACTTAGCCTCTCATCATACATTAAATCTGTCTAGGTGGTGAGATTTCCCTCATTCCATATCCAGAGGCTTCCTGTTTGTCTTCTGAAAGGAACAGAGATGGTTTTTGACATCAGGGTGCCCTGCAATAGCAAGTTCTTCCGGATGACCTTTTCCTCTCACTTGCAACACAGCTGCAAGACCAGCAGCTGATACGACACTGTGCTCCTTGTGAGTGGTCTGAAGTCTGTAGCGTGGCAGCACATCAGAACATAATTTGTAATCCCTGGATGCAAGAGACAGAACAGCTTGGGGCCATATCCAAACAGTCAGATGAGCCATAGACCTCAAAGTGAGGGCACATGACAGTGCAGTGCACTTTTTGGTCTTAAGAAGGAGTTATGTCTGCACAGTCAAGTTGAAGAAGTTCTTCAGATTGCAGAGAAAACTGGAGAGATACAAGTGGACCAAAATTTAGAGAAACAGTAAAGAGAAGTGGGGAGGAAAAGTCTCCCTATTTACTGCCCTTTCATTTCAGATTCTTTCTGCAGAGAAGCACCATCTTAAAAGAAAAATTATTAAACACCCCAGAAGGTTGTGAAATCTTGTGTAGAAAGCACTGGGGACTGATAAAGTCCTGACAGACAAGTCTGATCACATTTGACAAAGCTATAGGAGAAGCTAGGGGTGAGTCTTATCTTCAATGAAACAATTGACGCCCTCATGTAAAAAAAAAAAAAAAAAAACCAACAGAAAAATCCCACAGCCAAAGCTTAGCGCTCCTTGGCTCTGAGCACGCCAGAGGAATGAGATCTGGCTGAGCTGCCATAAACAAAGGTTGAAGAGGGATGCATAGGAAGAGGAGGCAGAAAAGGAGAGGGAAGACATTCCTGAGATGCAATCTCCTAAGGGAAGATGAAGCAAGTTACACAAAAGCGCTCTGAACCTGCCGAGGCTCTGGCCCTACGCATTGAAGCAAACGCCTAACTCGCGCCCATCAGCTGCCTCTCTGAAGGGACCCAGCCTGCGCACAGGAGTACGGGCGAGCCGGGGCCAGGCTGGCAGCCGGGAATTCGGACCGCTTCCCTGTCCTCGTCCCCGGGCAGTGCTCGGGTACCTCTGCCATCAGCCCGGGAAGGGCAGCCCAGCCCCGCAGCGCTCACCCGGAGCAAGGCTGGCACCCAGCGCCCTCCGCTCACACCGAGCCCCCCGCCCGCACACCGCCGGCCCCGCCGCAGGGTGAAGGGCCCTCCCCGCACGGCAGCCGGGCACCACAGGGCGGCGGCGGGGCAGCGCCGCAGCTGCGGGGCCGAGAAGCCGCCCCGGTGGGACGGGGCGAGGAGTAGCGGCCGCAGCTCCTGCCGGGCCGGCTCCTCTCGGGCCGCCCGCCCCGGACCCTCCGCGCGGTGCCGGCACCCACCTGCAGCGAGTCCCGCTGGAGCGCGGCCCGACTGAGAGGCGCGGCGGCGCGGGAAGGGGAGGGAAGGAGGGAGGGATGCAGCCGCCGCCCGCCTGCCTTCCCCTTTCAGGCCGGCGGGCGCGGGCGGGGCCGGGCGGTGCAGCCCCGGCCCACGGGCCGCACCCTGGGCCGGGCCGAGCCGAGCCCGGCGTTGTGGCACGGAGTCAGGGCGAGCAAGGGGCCGGGGACACGGAGACCCGCACCTGCCGCCCCGGGAGCTCGAGCAGGCAGAGGGGCAGCGCCCGTCAGCTGCCACTTGTGCCCCCGGCCAGGCCAGTGCACCTAAGGGGTGTCAGAGCATCTCTCCAGTGACCTCTCCTGGACACCCCCGGGCCAGGACCCCCGTGAGAGGAGGGAGACAGGAACACCTTAGTCCGGACAGCAAAAGGGAAATGATGGTGCACAGGGGAATTGTGATGTGAGGGACAGTGTTCCAGGGCACCCATACAGGGACACACCAGGTGGGGAAGTCCTGTTGATCCAGTTCCAGCACTAACCACAGCTGAAACTTCACCAGTGTTGCACAGGGAAAAGAAAGTACTCCTCTACACCAGGACAGCAGCAGAGAGCAGGGATGTAGGTTAAGCCTGCCTAGCAGCTGCAAAATCTTGTGAAAGGAGCAGTTTTTCCCAGGAGTGTCAAGTGCATAACTTTGAAAGTCTCACAGAGCATTTCCCACCCCAGCCCTTGTTGCTCTTGCGTAGTCAGGTGCTGATCTCCAGCGAGGCTAATGACATTCTCTGCATCCTCTGCTGAAACTTCAGCTAGGGTTACACCTTCTCCTACAACATTATGTTCAAGGTGGAAGGCTGCGGCAAAGACTATTGGTTACAGAGCAACTGAGTGCCTGATGGACCTGGTGATTCATCCCAAATCTTTCCATAGAGGTACAGCACAAGGAGCAAAACTGAGCATTACAGCACTCAAGATCTCCACAAGGCCCTACCTATTAGCATGTTTCTTTTCCTTGCATACATGATCACAGAGGAGGAAGAAATCTACGAAGTTACAGAAATGACTTATTTTAACCTGGTATATACAGGAGTTTTCAGTTATGCCTATTCTTTCTTATTCCATATGGTGGTGCTTCTTATAAGGCCAGCTGCCATACTGCTAATTTGGCAGCAATATTTGAGAACCAACTAAATACTCTAGTGGAAAGGGACTTGAACATCCTCAGTTTATCTTGGTATATATAAATACTATTCTAGAGTTTTATCCAAATTCCTTGCACACAACTGACAGCTGCAGAGGCCCCCTTTCACTTCTGAAGGTCTGTCACATGCCCACAATCATGTAAATAAGACAAGTGGATGCAGGCAGATGAAGACAGTGCTGTTACCCCCAGCTCTGGTACCCTCCCTTTTCCCACCCGCCCTTCTCTATCTTTAACTACCAGATCCACTCAGACTACAAAGGCAGCAATCTTTATTTTATGACACATCAAATTCACACTTTAGACTTTTTTAAAAACTCCAAAGCATAAAAGTATTTAAAAGAGTTCCAAATATAAGTTCCGTATAAACAGAAAAAAAGAGGGTAAATGACACACAAGATGACGTTTAAGTCCTTATGTAGAAAATACTCTTCCCACCTTCCTTTGGCCTCTAACCTTTATTTTCTTTAAATAACCATGGTCTCCTGGGCCCCTCTGCACTGTAGCCTTGAATCAGGTACCACAGTTACTGTGCAAGCCAGAGGGGAAGACATGAAAAAGGCTCATTTGGAAAAAGCTGCTGCTCACGTACATGGGGGTGGCTCATCAAGTCTCATCCAACCCTCAATTAGGCGACACTGCTTTGCACACTAATGTAGCTTCCTGTAACAAGGCTGCTCTCATTGGCAGCCTTTAGGGAGGGAATGGAAACATGGAAATCAGGCCCTGCACTCTCAGCGGCTGGCAGCTTCACCACAGCCCACTACTCTGTTTCCCAAACATGTAGTACCATTGTTAAATTCACACTGGCTGTGGGCTCAGCCAACTGCTCCACAAACTACTTAACCTGAACCCCCTAACAGGAGGCAAAGTATTTGGGAGAACCAAATATAAGCTGCACCGTAAGTAAGGAGGCAGTGACACAACTGGATGGAAAGCAAGTCTGCCCCTCACCAGCAGTAAGCCTCAACTAGTCTCAGTTTTGGCTGCAAGTTTCTGAACTTTTGGCTCCCCATACTGAACATGTACTTGTAGCTAACACTTCAAACCTTGCCACACTAGGCTTTATTTGCCTTAGTGATAAGGGAAGCTGGCATTTTACTTCTCAAGAGGGATTTAACAGATGGAAAACAGCTCAAAAAGCGAGTGATCCAACCCAGAAAAGAAATTTAAGGCATTAATGATACATTCATCTTGACTCCTACCACGCTGCAGCTCACACTGCTGGCAATAAGCATAAGCTGGCACATTATGTGTTCAGAGAGAACAAGGAGTAATGCCACTGCAGTCAGAGTCTCTGAAACAAAAACACAGCAAAAAGCAGAGCTGGAAAGAGGGCTTTATCTCCTCTGCCTCCCTACCTGATCCCACCAAGTGAAACATCCATGCAGTCAAGTTTCTTCACAACTCCACTCCCCAGCTACACTCCTAATGGAAGTGTTGACAAGATTGCCACAGCTGTACTATAGACCTTGGTCTTTCTGCCCCCCACCTTGCAACTGCAAGCAATACTGTTATTCAGCCACTAAGATGTATTTAGATGCTGCTTCTCCAAGTACTCTGGTTAGTAGCCTCAACAGGAGTGCAAGGAAGAGGAAGGTATTTATTACAAGGTAAAACCATAAAAGAACACAGAAAAGAGGAACCCTGTCACACTGCAAGTGTGAATTTGAAATGTCATGTGGGGTTGGGGATTACAGCCAGAGGGCTCGAATCAGTTGTTCTTACAGTAACTAATCAAAGGCAAGTTACAATACTTGCCTTTTCACAGGTATCAGATTTAAACTGGCTGAAAAAGAAATGGGAGGTTAAGATAGAGAAATCATTCTCCTGTTTCTCCTATTAGTGGGGCAGGAAACCAAAACTAAAAATCATTGCCAGCCTTTTAAAATAAGACTGTAGAAAATATAAGCCTTGGAGGTCACCCTGGTGGTGCTAGTAACACCAGCTCAAGGATGGTTCCAAATTAGGAGACTAAACCAAAATTAGAAATAAAAGGGGGAAACATCCAGCCATTCTCCCATATCCCTACACTGGAGCTGCCTGTACCACAAGGGGGTAGGGGAGGTAGCGTTCCAGGCAGGCTTGATATCCATAATGTTCACATGCCCATCCAAGATGTTCTGGTGAGCAGATGGTTTATGAATTCCAAAGGAAACATTCTCAGTCACTTTCAAACTTGACGGAATTGACTTGGGTTGATATAGTGCCCCCACGGTAGCTGCCTCGTTTTTTCTTTGTCTTCTCATGGCGGAAAGATTTGCCTTTAGTGTATTTCAGGATATTGTTAGCCTTCTCACCCCAGTCACCAGCTGCTCCTTTCTGTGAGGGATGAGGAGGGAGAAGAAAAAAGAAATTCAAGTCAGTACCCAAGAGAGTAAAGGCAATGCTTTGCAATTTACCCTACCCAGCGAACACTAGTACATTAACACTGGAGCTGATACTGCTCTCCCATGCACCTCCTGCCACTGCTCACATGCTTCTTAACAGCTCCTCCTGGTGGAAAAAGTTCTCACCAGAAACACTCCCCACAAGCACACCAAGGCTGCTCTGCTGACATGTGCTTTCAGAGACAGTGTTACCACTCTGGACACTATCTAGCCCTACCTTTGCTTCAAATGAGTTATCAGCAACACGGGCATCCACCTCAATCTCTTCTTCCCTTACACGGCGGAATGGAGAGGCTGGCTGTTGAGAAAGAAAATGAGACAGTAAGCACATGCAAACACACAACATTCTCTTACTGACAACCTCCTTCCTTGCCCTGCAAATAGACAGCCCTGTTCACATCACCTCAATCTTTACGTGTTTCTCAGATTCATGGTTCCTTCCCTTCTTCAGATCAGGCAGCTCAGGGATGCTCCTGTGCAAGCATATCCAAGCAGCTTTTGCCAAAACAATACTATGCACATATGTGCACTCCCCCTAGGGTTCTCCAGACAAAGTTTAAGTGCTTGAAGAAGGAATAAAAATACAAATAATTCTGTGGGCCCAACCTCCCACAAAATCCCCAAACAATCCTAGTTGTTTAGGAGACAGATGCCTCTTCGGCCAGTTGCCACAGTCCACCCTCACTTACCCGTTTCACCTTGGGGACTGTGTGTGGTGTTTTGGTTTTGACCTTTGCTTTTTTACTTTGTGGTGTCTCTGACTCCTGAATATCTTCCCTCTTCTGTTTCTTCCCGACTGAACCTGTTAGATGTACAGCAGCAAAACTTTAAAGGGAGTAACTGCAGTGTTGGGAAAGGTAATGACATCCCTCCCCCAGAAAGCTAACCCAATGTTGACATAGGTGTGAGAATTGGTCCCTGCATTACTTCACCCAGAAAACAGACTGCTGTACCAGACACTAAAAGTCATTTTGGGTCAGCAAGGATCTTCCCATCCTATCCTAAGGGATAAAAATAATTTTATGGAATAGGGTACCTGTATATTAATGATTTTGCATACTTGAGAGAATTCTGTTGGTCAAAGTTTGCCAGGTTTTGGAGTCATACCATATGCACTTGCACACATCATTAGGGCATCACTAGCTTTCCTCCTGGAGGGTTAAAGATTGAGATTGCACACTGCAATATCAACTGTGGTGTCCCACTCCACACGGACAAGGTCCTCCAGCAGTCCACTTCGCTGTCACTAAATCTTGTGCATGCACAGATGGCAACTGGCAACAGCTATACAGAAATGTGCTTCAGCATTACCACAAATTCTACTGCCAGCAGACAAAAAGGATTCCATCAAATGCAAAACTAGCCCTTCCCTCTCAGTACTGCACCAAATGGCATAATCCAGTAACAGAGATTGGACTGAATATTGTTTAAGAAAGTCTTCCATTCACGTTTGGCTCAGTAACACTGTCTGACAGACCCACTTCCCAGACTGTAGGTAACAATACC